GAAATAAAAACTAAGAAATAAAAGTAAGAGAAATAAAAACTAAGAAAAAAAAGTAAGAGTAATAAAAGTAATAAAAAAACGAGAAGAAAAACAGAAATAAAACTACGAACTAAAAGTCAGAGAAATAAAAACTAAGAAATAAAAAGAAAGAAATAAAAGTAAGAGAAATAAAGACTAATAGAAATAAAAACTAAGAGAAACACAAACTAAGAGAAATATAAACTAAGAGAATTAAAACTAAGAGAATTAAAACTAAGAGAAATAAAAACTAAGAAATAAAAACTAAGAGAAATAAAGACTAAGAGAAATAAAAACTAACAGAAATAAAAATCGGGAGAAGAGTCTAAGAGAAATAAAAATCAAGAGAAGAGCCGAAAGAAATAAAATCAGGAAAAGAGCCTAAAAAAATCAAAATCAGGAGAAGAGTCTAAAAAAAACAAAATCAGGAGAAGAGCCTAAAAAAACCAAAATCAGTAGAAGAGCCTAAGAGAAATAAAATCAGGAGAAGAGCCTATGAGAAATAAAAATCAGGAGAAGAGTCTAAGAGAAATAAAATCAGGAGAAGAGTCTAAAAAAATCAAAATCAGGAAAAGAGCCTAAGAGAAATAAAATCAGGAGAAGAGTCTAAAAAAAAAAAAATCAGGAGAAGAGCCTAAGGGAAATAAAATCAGAAGAAGAGCCTAAAAAAAATCAAAATCAGGAGAAGAGCCTAAGAGAAACAAAATCAGGAGAAGAGTCTAAGAGAAATTAAATCAGGAGAAGAGCCTAAAAAAATCACAATCAGGAGAAGAGCCTAAAAAAATTAAAATCAGGAGAAGAGCCTAAGAGAAATCAAAATCAGGAGAAGAGCCTAAGAAAATTAAAATGAGGAGAAGAGCTTAAAAAAACTAAAATAAACAGAAGAGCCTAAAAAAATTAAAATCAGAAGAAGAACCTAAAAAAATTAAAATCAGGAGAAGAGCCTACCAGAAATAAAACCAGGAGAACAGCCTAAAAAAATCAAAATCAGGAGAAGAGCCTAAGAGAAATAAAATCAGGAGAAGAGCCTAAGAGAAATAAAATCAGGAGAAAAGCCTAAAAAAAATCAAAATCAGGAGAACAGCCTAAAAAAATAAAATCAGGAGAAGAGCCTAAGAGAAATAAAAATCAAGAGAAGAGCCAAAAGAAATTAAAATCAGGAGAAGAGCCTAAAAAAATTAAAATCAGGAGAAGAGCTTAAAACAATTAAAATCAGGAGAAAAGCCTAAAAAAAATCAAAATGAGGAGAAGAGCCTAAAAAAATAAAATCAGGAGAAGAGCCTAAAAAAATTAAAATCAGGAGAAAAGTCTAAAACAAATCAAAATCAGGAGAAGAGTCTAAACAAATAAAATCAGGAGAAGAGTCTAAAAAAATTAAAATCAGGAGAAGAGCCTAAGAGAAATAAAATAAGGAGAAGAGCCTAAGACAATTAAAATAAGGAGAAGAGAGTAAGACAAATAAAAGTAAGAAAAAAATAGAGGGCATTTCTAAAGTTGCAGTGCATCCCCGCTCCTTATGCTGCCTCCCCAACTCACCTCCAATTCCTGGAGGCTTCCAAAAGTTACCGCGATGGCACCTGCTATAACTATATTCGGTGTCTTGTTGCTCATCCTTTTAAAACTCGGAGATTGCAGACGAGGACAGCTGAAGATGACCATTCTGAGTCAGTCGCCCCATCGTGAGGTGGTTCCTGCGGTAACGAGGTTACTCCGAATCAACTACGAGAAAAAAACCATAACTGATATCAGAGTTGTGTGGCATGGGGCTGGACCAAAGTGATCCCCCTAATAACCGGGACCAAGGTCCTGACCGGAGTCGAACACTGTGGTTCTCATCTTCTGGGATACCTGAGTGAGCGAGAGACAAAATTAGAGGGCATCTCTAAAGCTGCAGTGGATCCCCGCTCCTCCTGCTGCCTCCCCAACTCACCTAGAAGGCTCCTCTCTCTTCAGCCGCTCCCAAGACCGTCCCTGCAAAGGAAATGGGGAAATGCTCCAACACTCAGCTCTCAAACAGTGAGGGATTGCTCACAAGGAAAGCCAAAAACCTCTAAACCCTAGACACTGTTTGCTACTCTACCTAGCCGGCACTCTATACACCCCAGCAGGGCATCGCAAGACCATCCTGCTCACCCACTGTACAGCCATCGGCTCGACTCCCTAAGGGAACTGACCGGTTGACCTGAGACTCGGAGCCATATGCCATCTACCCACTGATCCACGTAGCAGGGCAGAGCAGTTCCAGGCTGAACCCAAGTGAGACATCCCACACCTGTGACGACACAGACCACAGGACACAAAACACGGACGAGACAAAGGACGTGACACAGACCCAAACTGCTCTGCCCTGCACACGTGAATCCAATGATAAAAAGTAAGCCCTTCCTTTGATGCATCCAAATCACCTGTTCCAGGATACCCCTTGCACCGGACTAATTTCAAAAATCCCTCCAGGCGAGGCACAGACTTGCCCCGACTCCCAACCCCTCTCTGGGTCTTTGCCCTGCACTTATCTTTCCGAGAGACGGGGATGCGAAGCCATCTTTCATGCACAGGAGGGGCACCGCGGCTGGCTCAGAGGTTCCTGCCATCGTCAGACTACTAGGCATCAACTGCGAGAAAGAAAACCAGACACCATATCTGAGTAGTGCGGCACGTGGCCCCAGCCCCCATGATCCCTCTACTC